AGCCCTGATTCGTTGTCCCCTTCCTACTGAAAGAGTGTGCTGAGCAGCTCTTTTTACCAATTGCCGAGTTGTTCAATTTGTATATGTCATCTGAAAGCATCCGTGATTGTTGTAGAGCTGCTCGGATAACCACAAGCCCCAAAAAAGGATCTTCCAAATATCGACCGATTGACTACATATCAACAATATTGAAAGTTTTTGAAAGAGTCCTTCTTAACAGGCTGACCCTTTTATCTGTCACCCAGGACTCTATCCAGTTTGCATACAAACATTAGCTTTCCACTATTGATGCTGTTGTACACGTTGTTCACTCCGTTTCATCCTTATTGGATAAAGGGCCTGGCATCGTCCGCTTAACTTTTCTTGATTATGCTAATGCCTTCGAATCACTTGACCGCGGCATTCTCATTCAACCTTCTTTCGGATTGTGGTCTGGCAACTAAGTCACTGAATATACTAATTAATTACTTCACTCATCGGTCGCAATACACTTTTTGTAACGGTAAATCTTCCTCCCTGCTAGAAGTTAACTCTGGAGTTTTCCAGGGTGCAATTTTGTCTCTATTTCTTTTTTCATTGTATATTAAGGAACTTCCCATCCCTCCCAACTTTATCACCTGCAAGTATGCTGATGACGTGGTGGTCGGCTGTCCCTCGACTGTTCCTGATTGTTTCTGTCAACTTAAATTTTGTATCAATAACAGTTTTAGTTGGTCGACTTCTAGATCTTTATTGCTAAATGTAGATAAATGTGTGGATCCTTCTTTCCGCCTTAAAACAGGCATGTCTTATCAAACCCTTTTGAGCAATCAGTCTGTGCTTTCTGTTAATGGTAATATCATCCCCAAAGCTAACTCTGTGAAATATCTTAGAGTTACTTTGTCACACAATCTTTCTTGGTCCAAACATGTTGAAAACGTTTATATTCGAGTTCATAGACTATCCTTCGACGCTTTTAGGCTTAAAAATCTCAGCGTTCCCTTAAACGTCATTCTTAAATTTGTGACTGCATGCATTCTTCCACATTGGTTGTACTGTTCCCCCGTATATTTTTGTGGTCTGAAGGCGAAAGACTTTATTCTCTTTTCCAGATCTCTTGAACTTCTTTCTCGTTGCAGCGGAATTTCAAAGACCGTTTCGGTTGAATTTATCGTGAGCAAGCATTTTGATTCGTGGGATCGATTTATCAGCCATTTCCTGTCCAATGAAGAAAACTGTCTACACTCCCATCTCAGTAAATCGGTGTCTCATCCGAGTACCCGTTCCCAATTTCGGATTCTTTGTGCACGCACCACCCCACACACAAACAGCATGATCCCTTATTTTGCTCGTATCCTAGTCAACCGAGCAAATATTATTACTGACTTGAACAATCATCTGTCCGATTAGGCTCTTATCTAATCCGTTTGTTTCACATTTAGTAAATGTATATTTCTTCTTTTTTTCCAATGCTTAACGTTTTCCTCACTGCAACTTGTCAAAAGTGCTGAAAATTCATCCTATCGGGTGCATAAAGCTTTACTTGACTTGACTTGAATGTTACTCATTGAGAAGGAAAAGAACATTTCAACATTTAAGTGTGAATGTGAATAAGATGGCCAACTTTGATGCATCTAACTCCTCACTCTGCAACACCGTTACTCAGCTTATTATCTTTTTCGTGCTTTTTACGGGCAGGATTACCAACAGAATAAAAGCTGGAATCCGTGCTCGACATCCAAGCAGATCAAGCCACTTATAAGACCGTTTACTTACTGAAGCCTCGACAAGATTCGTGCAGGAC